GAAGAAACATGGAAGATGTAAGATTAAAGACATGGAGAAAAACAAGTTGATGATATATTTGATAATTTTTGTGGTTTGGGGCATTTTTTTGTGTGCAGGTAGTTATGAATATGATCAGCGCTCATCAGCAATCAACAAATTCGGGTCATCAATCATATTCCCACTAGCACGTACTCGTGCGATGCATGGGACAGAGATATTAAATGAGTTATTTTCACACCTTTGTCCGTTTAAGTTTAAAAAATAATAGGGTTATTATCTATTTTCTACCTCAGACATATCAAATGAGTTATTGTCACACCCTTGTCCGTTTAAGTCTAAAAAATAATAGGATTATTATCTATTTTCTACTTCTTTTAATCAACGCTACGTCTAAAAAACAATAAGGTTATTATAAGTTTTTTTTTTCACATCTTTTAATCAGCGTTGTTTTTTTAGCCAGAACAATAAATATGAGCATGTTAGGGCTAGCTTATAAAATAATTAATATATTATCTCACTATACTAATAAAAATTTAATTTTAGCATATAAATTTATCCCTTGATATAAGAGAAAGTAATAGTTTTACTTATTGTTGTTCACTATATAATATTGAATTATTATTTTATTATATAATAAAAAAGAATATTGTTAAATAGTGTAGTAGAATTGTTATAAAATTATATGAATTATTTTTTTTTGCAATATAGATTTAGTATCTTTTCATGATTTGATAATATAACTATAATATATTCTTAATGATACAATCTGAAATCGAATTACAGAATTTCAATACATAAATAATAAAATATTTGGTAAAAAGATAAGAAGGAAATTTCAATTTCAATCTACAAAAAGTTTATAACAATTTTATGGGATTTTGTTGACTAAACGGATTGTATGGAATAAAACAGATAGAAGATAAGAAGGAAATTTCAAATATACAAAACATTAAAGCCGATTTTGTGGGAGTTTTTCGCAGGAAAACCAATTGTATGGGAATAGTGATAGCATTAATTGAATCGCATAACATTAATTTCAATATTAAATAATTAAATAAAATATATGCTGGAAATAGTAATAGCATTAATTGCAGTTGACTTTTCTAGATACTATTTGTAATAAATAAGATCCCTTTTTATATAAGTATAGATAGATTATATGACAATGTTTATCCCAACTAGTACAGAGCCCGTGCGATGCACGGGGTGCACAATTTTAAGGCTATTTATCCAGACTTATAATTATATACATGAATACAGAAAAATGTACGAGATATATATATAGTACGTGACCCGTGCGAGGCACGGGATATATTCATTTGAGAAATACTATATTATAAGATGCAATATTCAATAAAAGTTTTATAATACGCAGGAAAATTATACAATAAGATAGTATTCGACAAACAAACAATCATATATTATTAAAGACCACCTTGTACACAACATTATGAGTTTGATTTTCCATACAATAATAATAAGATTTTTTGTAAAAAGATAAGAAAGAATTTTCAATCTACACAAACTTTAAACATTAGATGTGTTTACGTAAATCAATGACTATATAGACAACTAAACTCTTCAATTTAGGCTTGACATCTACTTTATTTATGGATGACGTAAAATAAGGATTTAATTTTGACCGATTAAATATTTATTCATAAGCTTGACATATAAAACTGATTTGATGGGATTTTCTTAACTAAACCGCTGCTATAGGATAAAACAAATCTATACTTCCCTTTGACTTTTTCAGCAAAGGTAAAAAAAATCGGTTCTGCTTTTTATCCCATAACAAATCTTCAATGTCAAGCCTACAAATACCAAAATAAATCTGTAATTAGTATCATTCTATTTCCAGCAAGCATTAATTACCTTTGACTTTTCTGCCTACTATTTCTAGTAAATAGGATGACTTTTTATATAAGTATAGATTTCATATAATGCAAAGACTGAGATCATAAAAAAGAATCCTAAAAACTGAAACAATATATTTGCATAATTTAAGGCTATTAAGAAATCGATCTCTAAACCAGATTTGATTTTCAGAATATGTTTTTTCATTTCGAATTCCATACAAAATGGAATTCTTTCCAACCAATAGATGTCATAGCAAATATTAACTCTTAACTATCAGACTATTAGTACATACCGAGCAAATTGTGTACTGTTTTAGAAAGTTAAAATGATTCATGTTAGGTAATTTTACATTTTATGCAAGTTGAACGGTGGGTTTTAAATATTGTTTCATAGAATGTAAAAGTGTATTATATTATTTTTATGAGATGTTGAATTTGAAAATTAATGGAATTCTTCTTCATAGGAATTTTAAATGTAACAATATTCTTTGGTATACACTACTAATAAAATCTATATTTAAAGTTTATATTTTTTTTTACCGGAAAAAATTCCTTAATTTAAGGAATCATATATCTTCAATCAATCCACATCTATATACATTCTTCACAATTTTAAATCTTGAATTTGATGAGAATTCGTATCTATGAGTGCAAAATATGGTTTAACAAATTAATTTTTTTTATTATTTCAGCCATACTTCTTTATACGATTTTTTGTGAAAATACAAAAGTAAATTCTTAATTTTAAATCAGCCGTACATTAAAGAGTACAAATTTGTTGAAATTACAAAAATAGTTTTTTACTTTTAAGCATACGTAAATTTAAAACAGTTATAAAAAAGTAATATTTGTTTACCATTTAAATATTAAATCAGTCGTAATTAATGTTGTTTGTTTTAGTTGCCATGATTTTCTCCAAACTAAATTAACAATTGCCATGATTTAAGGGCAACATTTAATGCTGCTCTATTTTTAGGAGACATTAAATGTATTTGGCGGGAAAAACTTGCTAAAAGTGTTAAATGGTTAATCTTTTAATATAATGATAGATGGGTATGTAGATTTTACCTCCTTTTATTCTTTTGGTAAAAAATGGTTATTTACTTATTTTAGCTATCATATTTTTTCTTTTTTTCTTTTTCTTTTTTTTTTCGGGAGTTTGATTAAAGTTTTAGTGAATGAACCCAGATTCTTATTTTTTGCAACAGAGGAAAAAATGTGGTGGACATGAGTATTGGGATTTATGGTAGAGTTATATAGTCAAGAATTCAATTTTAGGATTAGATGAAAGTTATAGTGAATAAACCCAGATTCTTATTTTTTTGAAACAGAGAGGAAACAAAAAAGAATCTATCTGGAAAATGTGGTGGAAAAGAGCATTGGAATTTACGTTAAGAGTTATATAGTCAAAAACCCAAATTACCATGTATTACAATTGTGTTCAATTTTCTTTTGGGATATATGAGCAAATTGAGTAATTATTTCTTGCAGGTTTTATTTTGTTCAGATTAACTTTGGAAATCCTCCGAGGCCATATTTTCTCGATCCCGACACGGGCAGCGATCTCACGTGGCTACAATGTGATGCCCCGTGTGTTCGTTGCTCAACCGTAAGTCCATCTTTATTATTTTGCCGCATATTATGCATAAATTTGTGTTGATATTATTTTGAGATCATAGTGAATTGACTAGCAATAAGTCGAAAGCTCGATAGAAAGAAAAATTCTCGATTTGAAAACTGTACATTGACATCTATTATAGAAAATATTGATCTCATAGTGTTATTTTTTCTTATTGATAGTTTTTTGAGGATTGCTATAAGTTCATTAACCGCGATTGATTTTGTGTTATTTGAATTTTTAAGGGATTTCACCCACTTTATCGACCGAGCAATAATCTTGTTGTATGTAGAGATCCTCTTTGTGCTTCCCGTCACACCAACGATTATTACACGTGCAATAACCCACAACAATGTGATTATCTAGTCGAGTATGCAGATGGAGGCTCGTTTCTTGGGGTGCTCGTTAATGACTTTTTTACCCTTAATTTCATCAATGGTGTTCTCATGAGCCCTCGTTTGACTATTGGGTAAATTAAGCACTGATTTTTCATCCAGTTTCACTGAATTTTGTGTTGTTATCCTGCTTTTTATGGACTGAACTTTGATATATTGGTCGATATATATTTAATTGATTTGTATAACAAGTGGTTAATCATGAAATGTTATCTCATGAACTATGAACATACATAAAAATATTAAATTGAGATTTTTCTCTCTCTACTGAAGAAAATCCCCTTTCTCCTTTCTGCAACCCTAGCTTCAGCCGCTGGCGATTTGTGCTCCCTCAGCGTCCATCCAACTAGTCGGTGGACGGCTCTCCGCCGCGTGTCCTTGCTCTATTCGCGACACTTCCACCCATCATTTCTCTGGTCGGAGGCGAGGAAGGAGGTCTTCGGCAGATCCCACCGATCTGTGCTGGAAGGCCACCGGAGCTTCTGGGTGGCGAGGCGAGGTGGAGTGCGGCCACATAGGAGGGACGCGGCTCACTGCTTGCATCGTTCCTGTCCAGATGTCTCCTTCTCCCAGCCTTTGCCGACAGTCTCATCACCGGTTCTGCGGGCTTTCAGGTAAAAATTCCGGCTCTATGTTCGCCGGAACTCTGGTGTGGAAGCGGGTTGTGGACTGGGGTTCATCATCGGGGCTGGATGAGGAGCTCGGGTTTGGGCTTTGTCCGAGGCGCCTCTTATCGCTGGGCTTGGAGGACAGCCAGGTTGTGGCTCTTTGTTTTATGACGGAGTCGGGGTCCGGGTTTGTCCTTGCGGGCTGGGTGGATTGGTGGTCGGTGCGGGCTGGATTCGTCCCTTCGGGCTTGAGCGGCGCGGCTGAGCGTTGACGCTATTCGTCCCCTTCCTCTCATTTCTCTGTTTCGGAGTTCGTGGAAGGCCAACTGTCTCCGAAATTGGCTAGTGGTGATAGGCAATTTCGGGGCGGTGCTAGATTGGCTAGTGATGTTAGCCGGTTCGGGGTCGATTGTGGTATCTTGCGGTTGAGGTGCGGCTCGGTTACTCGGATTGTTTTGCGGCTTGGGTCATCGTCTTGCTAGGCCTTATGCAGTGGCGGGCGTGGTATCAGAGCTTCGGAGCTCTCCTCGGAATCGGCTTTGTCTGCTGTTCTTTTTGGGTATATTTGCTGAGGGAGGCGTTGTGTGTTTTAGTATGTAGTGTTTGTTTTCCGTATGTTCCGTTTGTTTGTTCTTGTTTTGTTTTGTGTTGTCTGTGTTTTAGGTTTGGGCCGTTGTCCTCAGTTTGCCCGAGTGTGACTTGATTATCCTGTTGGGACCGAACACTCGGGCATTATCCTGTTGGGGTCGTTTGTAATTTTCTAGTGTTTCAGTGTCGTTGTGTTTTTTGAGTTTTTAGATTACGTAGTTTAAGCAAATTTCACTTTCAATGCTATTTCTATATCAGTTTTTTTGGTCTTGATCATGAATTTTTCTCAACGGAATCAAATATCTGCATTTTCCATGACAAAAAGGTGTTATTATTATTCTTTTTTACAAGGTGTGGCTATGATCAATTACCTGGAGCATCCAATCACCCGATAGATGGTGTATTTGGCCTTGGAAAAGGAAAATCGAGCATTGTTACTTCATGATCAAGGAATAATCGCGAAAAATGTTAAAGGCCATTGCTTAAGCGGGCAAGGAGGTTTTCTTTTCCTAGGTGACGATTTATATGATTCTTCACGCATAGCATGGACACGAATGTCACCCGACCACACGTAAGTAGTACTCGATAAACTTCCTTTTCGATACCATAAAATGGAGAATCAATGCACGCACAACTAATGATCCAATGTACAGAAAGCACTACTCTTCCCGGATCAGCAGAGCTTCATTTTGGCGGGAAAATCACGGGATTCAAGAACCTCAACATAGTCTTCGACAACGGAAGCTCTTACACGTACTTTAATTCTTGGATATACCACTCGCTTATTACTTTTGTGAGTTTGAATGACTCTCCATGTCACTTTTTATATTATGACTCGATTAACCGTATTTTGTTTAGAAATTGTCGCCATTCGTCACTTTTTGTTTTTTTGGTAGATAAATGAGGACTTATTAAGTGGGAAGCCCGTGAAAGAAGCAACTGAGGACCGAACCCTCCCGTTATGTTGGAAAGGCAAGAGACCTTTCAAGAGCACGCGTGACGTGAGGAAATACTCGTTGATCTTCCCTAGTGGTTGAGAACCAAATCCCTATTTGAGATAACTCCTAACTCGTATCTTATCATCTCGGTAAGATTTTTCAATCTGGAGTGTGTTTTGTAAGCAGTATAAGTTAGCTTACAGCTTATTAGTAAGTTTACAAGCTTTTTGAATTCAAATATGTTTGGTTCGGTAAGAACTTATCTCATAAGCCTACTTGGGTAGTTTTTCAAATGAGCCTGTTTTTATTTTAGCTAGATTTTGCCAAATACTTTTATTATATGAGCTAGTTTTTCAGCTATAAACCATAAGCTATTCGCTATACGCTCGAAATTCACTTATATCAACTAGGTATACCAAACATAACCTTAATCTTTTTTTTTTTCTTTTTTTTTTCCCCTACGAGAGACACTCGTGTGAGAACTTGGATTTATGTTCTTGCAGAGCAAAGGCAACGCGTCTTTGGGAATTCTAAATGGTACCGATGTGGGATTGAACAGTTTCAACATGATTGGAGGTAATCTAGAATTGGTTTATTAATTCTATTAAGAATGTATTCGTGTACAAATTCAGGATAATCCCACTTCCACTGGTGCAGATATATCTATGCAGGATAAATTGCTGGTCTATGATAACGAGAAACACCTAATTGGTTGGACCCCTGCAAATTGCAATCAACTTTCGAGATCTTCAACCTTATAGCTAGCTTCTAATAATTTTTTTTTTTTTTTTTTTTTTTTNTGATGAAATAATTGCCACATATGATGGGGTTGAGTTGGACAACAGTTTTTAAGACCTATTGGTATTTGAAAAATATATATTGTTCTCTTCTAAATGTATAAAGTCAACTGGATTTTGATGACTAGACCTTAGTTGTTGTCGATGTTGTCCCTTGATTTATGTAGATGATTATGTTATCTTGATTCTGGCATATTTATGTTGATGTGATTCATATGCTTTAAGTTTACAAGAAATGTTGTATGATTAGTTACTTAGTTTTATGGAGTTCGTTGTTATTGTATTGTGTCCTCAGCTCCAATTTGTCGGATTTGTATCTTAAGGCAATTGGAAATGGGCAAGAATTAAAAAAGTGAGAAAAACAATGCGAAGGGACAAAATTGTCACTTTGGGCAATATCATAAAATTTAATCCTGTCTAATAAATGCATCACTATTTCGATAAAGACCACATCCTATTTGGTAAACAAGATTACAAATCACCATCTAGATTCAATTTAAATAGTCAAATTCCATCATGTTTAGTAAAAGAGGCCTAAGACTATAGGATTTGTTCATCTTATGCAAGTGATTTATGACTTGCACACTAAAATTTATCTAAGATGTTTTGTTATTTGATTTTATTGCCTCTTCATTAGTATAATGTCTCCAATTTCAACTCTAACATAGGAAGCCCTCTCATATTTCAGCGCATAAATTAAAAGGCTTACTTGCCCGTACTCGCTACATAATTTTCCAACAGATCTAGATAAACCATAATATTATATTATAAACTTAGTTTAAAATTATATATACATAACTTGACCAATAAATATATCACCTTCATATTCACCTAATACTAACAAAATTCAACCTCAATCTTTGTCATTAGACAAGTCCTAAACCAATTTTATCGTTTTAACATTACTCGAAGCAGTTGGTAGTTGTTCGCTGATGACATTTAATTTCGTATTGGTGTTTGATATACTAGTGTACGTCCCGTGCGATGCACGGACGCGTTTGTTCTTTAAAACTTTTTTCGAAAACTTTATTTTATATATAACTATTTATATTTAAACATTTCATTATTGCAATCAAAGGAATACAAAATATGAAAAATCATGTATTATTGTAAGATAATGTTTACAAATTAAATATGTATTATGCATATAATATGTAACAAAATTTACTATAATTAGTTGAAATTAGGCCTAAAGATAATACGAATTTTATGTAAGACATTTTTTTTGGTCAAAACTAACAGGCAAATAATTATTTCTCATTGACGCCTTTACATCAATCATTTCTTGATTACATTTCGATAATTCGATTCTTCTTGTTTTCAACTCTAGTACGAATTCTACTCGTAAGCGATAATTACAAAAATCATTTGGTATCAAAGTTTCCATTTCTCTTATAATAAAAATACTTAAGTCACTATTTACATTCATAAACTCTTTACAACTGTTGTATAAAATTAAAGAGGAACTGAGCTTAACTATTATATAAAATTAAAGAGGAACTGAGACTAGTTTTTTCCCCCAACAATTTTGATATTTTTCTCCATATATAACTCAGTTATTCGCCTAGTTTTTTTCCCCAACAATTTTGATATTATTCTCCATATATAACTTAGTTATCCGTTTTACTACTCAAATTATAGCATTATTTATATATAAAACATTACAACATTCGTATGACTACTGTTTATTAAATATGTCCATATGAATTCTTTAATTAATAAAATATAATGAGAAGAATACAAAATTACAAACCAAATGCAAAAATTGATTCAAAATTTGGGCACACAGTATGGCAATTACACCATATGCAAAGTATAAATGTTCATTAGAAGATCCATTAACCTAAAATGAAAGCAAACAAAAAATTAAACCAAAAACATTCACGATAATTGACCGCGCGTCGCGACGTGGCAAATTTAAATTTATAAAAGTTTCCTCGACTAACCTCTACTAACTAGTAGTAGCGGCGAGTAAGGGTCGATCCCACGAAGAGTATGAATTAAATTGTGACAATCTCGTATTAATTGAATTAAACTAGGAAAGCAATAAAAGATGGGGGGGATTGGTTTTATAAAAATAAAAATAAAAATAAGAAAATAAAATAAAAATCTAATAAAATAAGAGAAGTCCAATTTTCGGTTCAGTTATCGCCCAATCTAAATCTACCGTTAATTAATTTCGACGCTTTCTCTAAATTGCTAACGAATTACCAACCCTAGCTAACAACAAGCTCTGTTAACCGAATTTTTCCTTACCGAATATTTAATCGAAATAGGCTCTTCGACTAAACCTAACTAGCGGACAACCTAGAATAAGCTCTCTAGATTTTATACACTAGCAGCATTAATTACTAAGAAAATAGATTGATCTAAGCAATGGACGCAAAAGTTTGGACCATTTAACTTATGTTCATGCTACCCTAGAGATGCACGACCCCAAGTTTACTACTAACGAAACGAGAACAATAACAATTATGGATTAAAGCCTCGAATCTAGCAGTTAAATTAAGAATATTCAATCTAGCTGGCCAAATTAAATCAAACACCATAATTCATAAACGTTAAACATAGATAACATAAATCAACTCATCAACAAAATAAATACGGCATCTCGATTAACTAACGATAAATAAAAATTCTTCAATCCATAGACAAATCAAAGTTAGGGTTCAAACATCCCCTAAAACTGGATAAAAATACTAGCCTAACATACTAATAAAAATAAATAAAAGACAAAAGAGAGAAATATAATCTCCCTCGTGTGCAGACGCGGCTTCCCTCCGCGTGTGTAACCTCTCGACTTTTCTCTTTGTCTCTCCGTGTGTTGTGCCGTTGCGTTTTCTAGAAAACTAAAAATGCGAGGCTGATGGATTCTTTGTTGTGATTCTCTGTCTCCATCCACCCCATCCAAGCCGATGATGTCCCGGCAGCTGCTCATGTCTCCAATTCGTCATCACTTGGATCACAGTCGTTGGAGTTGTGGGGTTTCACCGACTCTACAACCACATGGATCCACCGTATAGTGCCGCTCGCAATCGCGCCTGCTCTCTGTCGATGATCCTTTATCAGTCGTTGTTACTTGTTAGCCGTCCGTCGATCTCCGACACGGGCCTCATGCTCGCTCTGGATTTTTTCCGTCAATTATGTCTTGTCCGCCTATCTTAGTCACGTCGTCGTCCCCGTGCTGCCGGCGAGAGTTATTGATATCGGGCAGCGCACGATCTCGTCTTCTCAGAAATTGGGGGTTTTGCATTGGGAGTTTGCGAGGGAGAGAAACGAATGAGATGAAGAAATTAGGAAGGAATATGAAAAATTTGGTAATTTTGGTCTGCAAGGGAAGGAAGAAGAATTAAGGGAAGAAGAAGAGAGAGGAAAAAAAGAGGAGGGGGATACGGAGAAGAGGAGANGCATGTGATTTGTTTTAAATGTTTGGATTTAAATTTTTTTCAATAAAAATTCAAAACACATTTGGTGGGATTTTTCGAAATTTAATTTTTTTCAATAAAAGTTTAAAACACATTTGGTGGGATTTTTCAAAAAAATTCAAAAACATTACTGTGTTTAGTAATATATTTTGACGGGATTTTAAATGATTTTTTAGTTATTATTTTTGAATTATTTAGATTGCTTCTTTATATATTAATAGATAACTATTTTGACTAGTAGATAAAAAATAAGGAAAAAAACTAGAAACATGGTACATGAATCATACTAATATGTAGAAAGTCTTTCTAATAGATGTTCGGCTAACAGACATAAGATCGATTCACTTACCTTTGAATTAATTAAAAATCCTTCTAAATGTTTTAGAAGTATTATTATACTAGCTACACTTTGAATTAGTTTAAAAATCTTTCTAAATGTTTTAGAAGTATTATTATACTAGCTACACATCTTCATTTAGTTTTGAAGTTGTTCCTCAAGTATTATGATATATAAGAACTTATATCTTTCATATAGTTTTCTATATTATTTCAAATTTTATGTTTTGGTCGAAAATGTATACTCGACATATGACAATACTAAAAAAGTCGAAGTGAGTCCATTCGACAATGATTTGGGTATAACTATAGTTGTGTGGTATGAAATGGACCAACACTTTGAATGAAATGGACAAAATTAAGTACAAATAGCCAAAATTATTCCAATGCAAAGCAACCAGATCTCCACTCATGTCTAATTAGACTCAATGCACTATGTCATACTTCCAAATGCATTGGAGAACATTAATTTTTGTACATTGGATCTATTTCTTAGGTGGTAACAATTTTACTCATATGTGGTTTTGCCACAATGGCTTGCCTTATAGTATATGATCTGATCACCTTATACAAGTGATTTATAAATTGCATGCTAAAATTTATCTAAAACGTTTATTACTTTATTTCCTTGTGGACCTTGTCCAATTTCAACTCTACCATGGAAAGCTCTCTCATATTTGAACCTACATAAATCAAAAGGCTTACTTGCCCGTACTCGCTTATATTCAATTACTTAAGCAACATTACATTTCATGATCACTTTTTGATCTCCCCAAGTGCACAATGTATATATGATTTACAAAATCAATACACACACACACCCAATTTTGCTTCTCATCACTTCCAATTCCCCAAACTATTTCAATAGCGACCTCTACTTCCTGAGCTGCCCGTCGAACGAGAAGTCTGTAGAGCCCGTGACGTTGATCTCAAGTTGTGGAACCGGCGCCGGCGCCAGAGATGGGCCCAGCTCGTCGTCGTTGTCCGGGTGGCGGCGAAAGGCATCCTCGTGATCCAAGTCGGGATGACCGTGAGGGGATGGTGACTCGGAGTCCCACATCTGGTCGGTCTCGACGAAGAAATTGGACCTACGTGGGGAGGCCTGAAAACTGTCGGCCTCCCCTTTATGGTTGCGGAGGAGGTGCACGGGGGACATGCCGTGGGACCGCGGGGTTCCAGACATGGGGGTCCCGGGGGCTGACGGGTGCTGGTGCTTGTTAATCTCTTTTACGTGTTTCTTGGCGGTGTGGTGCCAGTTCTTGAGGGCCGTCGCCACCCGCTCGTTGAATATCGTCGGCTTCATCGTGGACCCCATCTACATAAAACAATTAAAATTGAATCGGATTGAATTTTATGGGAAATTTCTGGGGGTTTATTCGTCCTAAAGACTTCTTGAGATTTTAAGGATCTCACTGTATTCGTTTGATGTTTTAAAAAGTTTTAACAAATTATAAGGTATTCATTTTGGATTTATAAAAGTCTTATAAAATCATGAGGTATTATTTGAAATTTTAAAAAATATTACCAAATTAGGAGGTATTCATATTGAACATAAAAAAATAATAAAAAGAAAAGTTAAAAAATTATGAGATATTCAGTCTATTTAGTAATTGGACTTGATTAGACCAAATTCCACCTTCGGTCATGAGATTTCTAAGGATTCAACTTAAATCAAATAATCTTAAAAAGTCTTAAAAATTATGAATTTAAAAAAAATACTAAAATGTCACTTAAAATTCCGAACGAATATACTCTTCTTCAGATATGTAGTAAATATATAGTAGATGGGAAATGCTCCAGTACCCACGGTGGGCACATGTTAATATGCCCACCGCTTATGTGGCATGCACACATTGGTGATGTTAATATATTAAAAAAAATACATCACCATTGTGTGCATGCCACATAAACGGTGGGCATATCAACATGTGACCACTGTGGGTACTGGAGCATTTCCGTATAGTAGATACCTTAACATCAGCTGGATGTGTATTCGTTTGGAATTTCTATAGACTTAAGATTTCATAAGATTCATCTTAAATTCGAATATTTCAAAAAGTCTCAAATTTCAAAAATTCACAAAATATCAATCAAAATTCCAAACGGATACACCGCCAAAATTAATCCAATATACTTATGTAGAAATTAGATTGATCATTAGAAATTAATTGAATCATGTCATTATATATTTAAGTAATGTACCTGAGTCACGAGAGCATATAGTGGGAGTGTGACATAACTGCAAAGTATTTGTACAAGAATCCTGCAATGGTCACAAAAGAAAAAACAGCCAATTGTTTAATTACCACATGATCTGCATATGTTGTTTACTAACTCTGATTATGTATACTTTTAAATTAAAATGTCTTGCTTTAAAAATAGCATAATTTTTTTTTATATTTCATAATTTAAATATACATTTTTGTTAAAAACGAATGCCGACTTGTTTTACGGTTATAACATCTTACACAATATTTTTTTTCTGGTTAAATGTAATTTAGCAAGTTAATTAAGCTATAGTTAATTTTTTTTGTCTAATTAAATGGAATATAGAAAATTAAACTATAGTTACATATAAATGTATATATGAGACTCACCCCATTGTGATTCTAATCACCACATCCTCCACATGTTCATGGAAACACGACTTCAGACCAAATTCATACTACACAAGAAAAAAATGAGAGCATATACATCACAAAACATATATACGAAAATATATAAATACGTACGTACTTTGTAATATCGATGTACGACACGAGAAAAGAAAAATTAATATTAATACGATTTAATAGACGACGAGTGTTTACCACTGTCCATGAGAAGAAGGCCAGTTGAAACGCGTTCTGCAGAATTAACAACGATATATACGAAATTTAGATCATTTATTTAGTAACATATACGAACCAATCATTCTATATGTGAAAGATAGTGTATATTTATATACCTGAAAAAGAACAAAATTGATGAGATAGAGAATGAGACGAGGACGATTGAACCAGAAAAGATAGTCTCCAGGTTGAACTACGGGCACGCCCTTTACAACTTCTCCTCGCTCTTGAATTTTCAGCCCCATTCTTGTTATTATGACTTGTAGCTTGGTTCCTACTAGCAAAATTATCTGTAGTCCAACAATTTTCATTAATCCTATTAATTCTTCTATCATCTTTTTTTTTTTTTTTTAAAGAAATTGAAATAAATTGTAACACATCTTTACAGGAAAAAGTGTTTCAGGTGTTTAGTAACTCATTGGGTCTGAAATTAATCAAGTAATTCTTATATTTCAGCCAATTTGATTAAAATTGACATAAATTTAAGAGTTATTGGATTATTTTCGGACCAAACAATTGTCGGATTCCGGCGAGCTGCATCGAAATTGAACCAAATTGGATAAAATTTAAAAATTATTGGACCAATTATGGACTCCAATAAAGCTAAACAATAATGTGAAACATCCTAAAATTAGTAGCCTAAAACGGCAAATTTTCCCGAAGTTTCGTGGGTATTTTCCTATATATATATATATATATATATATATATATATATATATATAT